AGTTTTAAATTCTTTTACATATTCGTCATGTGAAACGAGTGGTAAACTCTGAAATTACAGTGACTGGTGGTGATGTGTGGAATAACTAAAGTTAATGACTATGTACTAAGGCTACACTTTGAAGCATTGAAACTATGACCATTTAGTATGTATTAAAACTAAATTTCGATGTAGTGAAACTACCATCAGTGAGTATGTACTAAAACTACACTTTGATGTATTGAAACTACGATCAATAATTATGTATTAAACTATCCTTTGAGGTGTTGAAACTACGATAAATAACTATGCACTAAAACTATATTTTGACATATTGAAACATACCAAAACCACTCTTCAAGGACTGATTGCAAAACCACATTTTGATACCACAGTTAACACAACCTCTTTTCAAGAACTGTGTATTAAATTCACACTTTGGTATGTTGAAACTAAGGTCATAATTATGCATAATTAAACCCACTACTCGTAGACTGTCTGCTAAATTCATATTTTGAACTGTTTAAATTGAAGTCAGGATTATGCACTAAAACCACTCTGTGGTGAGTTGATACGAAGGTTAATAATTACGCACTAAAACAACACCTCGAGGACTGTGTTAAATAACTCTTTAATGTGTTAAAACTAAGGTCATGATTACGCACTAAAATAACACAATGTGTTGAAAATAAAGTCATGAAATTGTTAAACAGGCATCAAAACCACTCCACAAGCACAGCGTATTGATATCACTTAAATTCTGATATTTCGACTTCAATGTCAATTTTCTTCGTGTTAATGACAATGCCAAAGTTTTCAATTGGTAATTTCGAAAAACACTTATATTATAAGAACTTCAAAATATGTGCATTATGTCGGGAAAATTATGGCCTCGAAAGTGTTATACATTATATGAACGTGATTCAAAAACTCAGAAGCTAAAAATAAGACACACGCACACATACGTACGTGTATTATATATATATATATATATATATTGTTGAACAATAAGTTAGAAATAGAATGTTGAATATTATACTATTGTAGAAAATTGGTAGAACATTTTAGGCTTGTTCACAAACTCGTTCCTTGACATAAACTAGAAGGGATAACTGTTAGTTGTGAAGACAAATGAGTTTATAGATCTTTTTTTTTGTTGTTGTTTAGCGCAAAGCTACGAATTGGCTGTCTGGATTGTGTTGACGGTTGGGATCGAACTCCGATTTTTAGTATTATAAGTCCTCACGCTTGTCGTAGAGCTACTGAAGGAAGTGGATTAGAACGGGTTATTACGTATTACAATAGCCTAAAACTGAATTCAATCTCTTCTAGAGAGAGAGTGGCATGAGCTTCTTCTGCTTTACCAGTTAAGACACTTTGTAATGATAATGACCATTTTTCGGTGGGCCATTCTATAGTTTGGGCAACTTTCTCAAAATGTTGGAAATATCTATTAACTTCATTTTCATTAAATGGTGGTACTCTAACATATCGATTAAGTTCAAGGTTGTCATTTTGCCTTGGTCGATCATAGTTGAGTCTGATTTCCATTTTTTCAGCATAATTTCTTTTTCAGATTCGATATGAGCTTTTTCTTTCTCTGCTTCGATTCGAGCTTGCTTGGCTTCGAGTCGTTTATTTTCTCTTTCAGCTTCAATACGAGCTTGTTCTTTCTAGGCTTCGATACGAGCTAGTTCAAATTGTTTCAGTTTTAACTGGATCTTTAACTTATCTTTATCATTCAACCCCAATTGGCTAGTGAGTACACTAGAGTATTCCTCTAATGCTTCCTCAGGTAACAAATCATCATCAACTAGTATTTCAATAATGCGCTTTTTTAGTTCATTTATTCTCATTGATCTTTTAACTTCTAGTTCTAAAATTTTAGCAGTTTCGAGCAATTCATTTTTGTTATATCTTTCTAGTTGTTCGAGGGAGGGTGATTCAAGAAAATCTCGATATTCAGTTATGATCAAATCTTGGTGGCACTGATAGATATAAATTGAATTATGATTTAAATTTGAATTTAGATCAAATTTTGTCTGACTGAGATCTCGGACACGAACCCCCAATTTATTATGTTACATATTACAATTTCGAATAGCCTAAAAGTGAGTTAAATCGTAATTTAGATTATATAGTTAAATATTTTCCGATATATATCCAATTTATATTTGCCAACAAGATTGATACACAGTTTTCTTTTTTAGTACAAATGTTTTAATGTACACACACA